GAGACAGGGTTTCACTGTGTTGTCCAGGCTGATTTTGAACTGCTGACCTCAAGCAGTCCACCTGCTTCAGCCTCCCAAAGTGCATGAGCCACCATGCCCGGCCTATCCTTGTCCTTTGACCGCATATATACATATGTGCATGTATATCAGTCTATTTCTGGATTTTCTGCCCTGAATTTCTATATATCCTTATGCTAAAAATACACTGTCTTATTATAATTTTAAAATAAGTCTTGAAATCAGTGTCAGTCCTCTAACTTTATTTTTCTTTTTCAAAATAGTTTTGGCTTATTTCAAGGTCTTTTGTGTTTCCATATAAGTTTTAGAATTAGTTTGCCAGTTTCAACAAAAAAGCCTTCTGATTGGGATTGCATTTAACCAATAGATTGATTTGGGGGAAATTGGTATCTTAATAATATACACATAGAGGGGAACAACAGACACTGGGTCTAGTAGGATCAAGGAAAATAATGAGTACTAGACTTAATACCTGGCTGACGAAATAATCTCCACAAGAAATGCCCGCGACACGAATTTAACTATATTACAAACCTGCACATGAACCCCTGAACTTAAAAGTTAAAAAAGTTGTTTTTAATTGAAAAGATATATTGGGCTTTGATTTTGAATATTTGTTATATTTTAGCAATATTCATGAAGCCAGATTTATTTATTTGTTTTGTATTCTTATTCATGTTCTCTGGGAATGCTGAAAATGTTGTGAGGAAGAATTTTGAGAGTTTTCTCAACTTCCCCTTGTGACCAAATAAAGATTTTTGCCAGACACAGGATATGACCAGCTCTTTGATTTGGTTCCTTTTTTTTTTATTTGGTGAGCAAAAGAAAGAAAATAACTTTTTGACTAACCTAAGAAGATCTTTTAAAGCTGGGCAAACCAGTGACAATACTTATCTAATTTTAAGGCTAGATCTTATGACTATCACATAAAATTAATATATTCATCTTCTAGGCCAGTGCTTCTCAAACTGTGGGTTTTGGAGCCATCAGCATCAACTGGAGACTTGTTAGAAATGCAGATTCTGGTCCGCGTGCTGTGGCTTATGCCTGTAATCCCAGCACCTTGACGGGCGAATCACTTGAGCTCAGGAGTTTGAGACCAGCCTGGGGAATATGGCAAAACTTGTCTCTAAAACAATACAAAAAATAACCGGACATAGTGGCACGTGCCTATAGTCCCAATTACTCAGGAGGCTGAGGTGGGAAGATGGCTTGGGCCTGAGAGGTTGAGGCTGCGGTGAGCCATGATTGTGTGACTGCACTCCTGCCAGTGACAGAGTGAGACCCTGTCTCAAAAAAATAATAATAAAATAATAAAAAGCAGATTGCAGATTGTCTAGCCCTGCCCCAGACCTGCTAAATTAGAAACCCTGAGAGGTGGGCCCAGCAATCTGTTTTCACAAGCTTTCCCTCGGACTCCAGTGTAGGCTAAAGTTTGAGAACTGCTATCAGAGACTTTTTTTTTTTGAGAGGAAGTCTTACTCTGTCACCCAGGCTGGAGCACAATGGTGTGATCACTCGCTGCAACCTCCAAGTCCCAAATTCAAGCAATTCTCTCACCCCAGTTTCCCAAGGAGCTGGAATTACAGGCATGCACCACCATGCCCCACTAATTTTTGTAGTTTTAGTAGAGGCGGGGGTTCACCATGATTGCCAGGTGGGTCTCGAACTCCTGACCACAGGTGATCCACCTGCCTCCACCTACCAAAGTGCTGGGATTACAGGAGTAGTTTGGACTTATCGTAGACTTTTAAAAAGTAAGAATTCCCCTTTGTTCCTTGGTTCAGAACCTTATTTCTGAACGATCAGTCTCAAGCTTTATTAAAAGAGAGAAATACGGACACAAATTATGACACTGTTGCGGCAGTTGATACAGAAGTAAAATCTACAGGACTTGGATAATGAAGCAGGAGAAAGAGAAATCAATGAAGACTTTTTTTTGAAGTTTTTGATTCACTGGATCAGCATTCTACAAAATTCTTGTGTCACATCTCTTTTGATCTGTCCATTGGCCACTGCAGAGCTCTCATATTCTGTCTCAGTATCCTGTACAAGATAGTAGATTTAGCATTGTTTAAACAGCATCATCAGCACCATAATGGACTTGATGCTATTTTAATTTCCTTTTTTTTTTTTTTGAGACAAGGTCTTACTCTGTCACCCAGGCTGGAGAGCAGTGTCGTAATCCTCGCTAACTGCAACCTCCATCTCCTGGGTTCAAGGGATTCTCCTGCCCCAGCCTCCCAAGTAGCTGGGACTACGTGTGTGTACCACCATGCTGGGCTACTTTTTGTATTTTTAGTAGAGACAGGGTTTCACCTGCCTCAGCCTCCCGAGTAGCTGGGACTAATAGGGACACACCACCACGCCCAGCTAATTTCTGTATTTTTTAGTAGAGATGGGGTTTCACCATGTTAGCCAGGATGGTCTCGATCTCTTGATGGCCAAGCTGGTCTTGAACTCCTGACCTCAGGTGATCCAACTGCCTCAGTCTCCCAAAGTGCTGGGATTATAGGCTTGAGTTACCGTGCCCAGCTATTTTAATTTTTTTTAACTTTTTTTTTTTTTTTTGAGACAGGGTCTTGCCCTGTTGCCCAGGCTGGAGTGCAGTGACATGATTATAGCTCACCACAGGCGCAAGTGATCCTCCAGCCTCAACCTCCTCAGTAGCTGGGACTTTAGGCATGCACATACCACCATACCCAGATAGTTTTCTAATTTTTTTTGTAGAGACAAGGTCTCACTATGGTGCCTAGGCTCCTGGCCTCCAGCTCCTGGCCTCTTGCCAAAGTACTGGCATTACACATGTGAACCACTGTGCCTAGCCTTGATCCTGTTTTCATTTGGGGAGATTCATTTGTGGCAGTGTTTGTGGTAGTGCAAAAGTAAACTGCTAATGGGAGCAAAATAGATCTCAAATCTGGTGTCTTTTTTCTTTTTTTCTTTTTAGGGTAGACAGGAGGCAGAAAGATTAGAAAATAAACCCTCAGCTTATGGGACAGATGATCATCTGCAACTTAAGTTTTCCTAAGTTTCAATTTACTGTAATTATTTTCCATTGACGAGTCTTAGTAAAAACCAGATGTTGGCTGGGCGCGGTGGCTCACACCTATAATTCTAGTGCTTTGGGAGGCCAAGGTGGGCGGATCACGAGGTCAGGAGATCGAGACTATCCTGGTAACACTGTGAAACCCCGCCTCTACTAAAAAAATCCAAAAAATTAGCTGGGCGTGGTGGCACGTACTTGTGGTTCCAGCTACTCAGGAGGCTGAGGCAGGAGAATCGCTTGGACCCGGGAGGCGGAGGTCATGGTGAGCCGAGATTACGCCACTGCACTCCAGCCTAGGTGACAGAATGAGACTTTGTCTCAAAAACAACAACAACAACAACAAAAAAAAAACACGTTTTGAATATTAATAAATGATCTCTGTTTTTAAGATTCTAGGTTTAAAAAAAAAAAGAATATGAAGTAACACTCTGCTGCTGTTTGAAAATGCCACAACAAACATTTTAATGGAGGCAATAACTGAAATTATTGTCTGGTACCAGAACCACTATCTTCTCCTTATTTTAATAGAATATCGAATCTAGAGAAGCAAATCTCTTACAGTGAGTTTTTTTTTTTTTACAGCTAGTCCTCCTCGCTTTGTGACGGTAGAAGAACTTCTAGAGACAGCAAGAGGTGTCACCAACATGGCTCTAGCCCATGAAATTGTAGTAAATGGAGACTTTCAGATTAAACCAGTTGAATTACCAGAAAACAGGTAAGGTGTTTGCTAAATTATCTTGCTTAGTAGAATACTGCCATTTCCCAGTTTTGGAAATGTTTCCTTCAGTTGATACCAATATATTCAAATATATTTTTTCTTTTGTACATTATTGCTAAAAAATATTCCTAAACAAGGAACACTAATTCTTTAGAATGCAAATAAAAGGTCTGGGAATCTTTTGTGAGAGTCTTTCTTATCAGCTTCTGCCTAGTCAGTAGGATCTAGCTGCCTCATCTTGTGTTTTCATTGCATTGTTTCATTCACTTCTTTGAAACTATCACACTGTACTATAGTCGTTGGTTTCCTCACAAAGGTGAAGACTGTGTGTAGGTTATTCTCTGTGTGCCTAGTGCCTGGTACTTACCATTTTTTTACTGAATAGAAGACTCTACTGATTGTAAGGTGCACCTTTTAAAAATGTGCTGTCATGGCCGGGCGTGGTGGCTCACGCCTGTAATCCAAGCACTTTGGAGGCCAAGGCAGGCGGATCACCTGAGGTCGGGAGTTCAAGACCAGCCTGACCAACATGGTGAAACCCCATCTTTAAAAAAAAAAAAATGTACTGTCATAAGAAAGAAGAAACACTGTCCATTATAATTGTAAAAATGCCGTTGATTTTAAGAAAGGTCCAAGTTTCTGAGAGATTAAAATATGGGGGGGAATGTTTGTTTTAGAATCAAGGAAATATTCGTGCCGATGCCCTTCTGTCAGCAGCTCACTTGAGTCAGGACTCTGGATGGTGTCTGAGAGTCTGTTGGGGTGTCTTCATGGTTGCAGGATGAATGCTGCAGCTCCAAGCATCCCATCATACGTCAGCATTCCGGGCAAGAGGGAAAAGGTTGGGAGGACTAGAGCTCTCCTTTTGTTAGAGAGGAACATCTTCCCCTGGAGTCATGAAACAGACATCTGCTAATCAGAATTTAGTCAAATGCTACCCCTCTTATAAGTGAGCCTGGAAAGCTTAAATCGGGCAAAAGGGAATGAACTGCTGTGATGGGCTTATTAGATCAGCATGACTTATTGTCAAAGGCAGAGTATATTGTTACCCTGAAAAACACTGAGATTCTGTTAACAAAGGGGGAGGAATGGCTGCTGTGCTGGCAAGTGTCTTTTGTAGGAAGTTTCTAAATATGACTTCACAGATATTTCTTATATCTGCAACGATGGTACTTTTTTGCCTTTTTTTTTTGAGATGGAGTCTTGCTGTCGCCAGGATGGAGTGCAGTAGCATGATCTCGGCTCACTGCAACCTCCGCCCCCCAGGTTCAAGTGATTCTCCTGCCTTAGCCTCCCAAGTAGCTGGGACTACAGAGGCATGCCACCATGCCCAGCTAATTTTTGTATTTTTTAGTAGAGACGGGATTTCACCATGTCAGCCAGAATGGTCTTGATCTCTTGATCTTGTGATCTGCCTGCCTTGGCCTCCCAAAATGCTGGGATTACAGGCATGAGCCACCATGCCCAGCTACTTTTTTGCATTTAGTAATGAAGAATTATTTGTTTTGTGCTCCAGACATAAAGACTGGTTTGTTGTTGTTCTTGTTATTGTTTTTTTGAGACAGTCTTGCTCTGTTGCCCAGGCTGGAGTGCAGTGTTGCAATCTCAGCCCACTACAGCCTCTGCCTCCCAGGTTCAAGCAATTCTCCTGCCTCCACTTCCCGAGTAGCTGGGACTACAAGCATGTACCACCATGCCCCGCTAATTTTTGTGTTCTTAGTAGAGATAGTGTTTCACCATGTTGGCCAGGCTGGTCTTGAACTCCTCACCTCAGGTGATCTGCCCTCCTTGGCCTCCCAAAATGCTGGGATTACAGGCATGAGCCCCACATCCGGCCAAGACTGGTTTTAATGAAATGTTATGATGTATATATAAATTGTTATAGTTTGGTACTTAGTTAAGCAATTGTCCCATATATCACATGGGAATATGATATTTTTAGGAAATAAAGCCCTTCAACCTACTGCATACTGAATTGTTGTTATTATTATTATTATTACTTTGAGACAGAGTCTTGCTCTGTCAGGCTAGAGTGCAGCCAGGCTAGAGTGCAGCCAGGCTAGAGTGCAGTGGCACTATCTCGGCTCACTTCAACCTCTGGCCAGGCTGATCTTGAACTCCTGAACTCAGGTGATCTGCCTTCCTCAGCCTCCCAAAGTGCTGAGATTACAGGCATAAGCCACCACGCCCAGCCTAAATTGTTATCTTAGACTACCTAATTATAAAAATCTTAGGAAACTCGCTAATATCAGGAAACTAAAAATGATTAATATTGGCCATCCAATTACTTGAGAGCGATTCTTTCCAATGAGAGGCTTACTGCAAAATATCACTAACTTTTAAAATAAAGTGTGCCATTGGTTGAAGTGTGCCTGGGAAATTTTTCCTTGGTCCAAATGACTGGGATTGATCTTACCCAAAACCCATAGCATTTGTGTTTTTGAAAGTGATTTGAAACTCAGATATTTTGGTTTTTATCTTTTTTTTTTTTTTTCCCCACTGCCCCAGCTTGAAGAAAAGAGTAAAGGATATTGTACATAAAGCGTTTTGGGATTGCTTGAGTGCACAGCTAAGTGAAGACCCCCCAGCATATGACCATGCTATCAAACTTGTAGGAGAAATCAAAGAGGTGAGGCAAAGAGTGAATTGTGATGCTTTTCTGGTGTTAGGAGTGTTTATTCAACTTCTTGTTTCACCACCAGAAGACTTTATAAAGAAATTGAAGGATCAAGAAGTTAAATAACTTGCCAAAAGGTGGATCAAGAGTGTTTTTGGCTTAATGCCCTTTTAAAAAAAATTTTAAGCAAGCCATGATAACCTGAAGGCATTAAAGGCAACAAAGTTATTTCACAAAATATAGGTTATTTATAAATTTTAATAGGTATGGAAACATTCCATTTATGATGGCCAAAAAGTGATTCAGGCTTCGGGGTAGAGAAAGCTTTAGGGGGAGGGACTGTTTTTGCAATGCCTTTAGCCATAGCATCAAAGAAGAAATGTATCGATGAAAATTGTCATCTGTGGTTGGCTCACAGGCTCACATTAATAAACATGCTTTTCTTCTTTCACCATTAACAGGTTTTTCTTCTATCCATTTAATTGCTACCTGGAGCTTAAGTGGAAGCTTAAGTAATTATTGTAAATGATTTGTAAACATGTTTTTCTGTAGATTTGTTGAGTAAGAAGTAAAATATGTGCAATATTACGTAGCAATTAGTAAGCCCTTATTTGGATAGTTATAAATTACATATAATTAGAAATGATGTCGAAGGAATTTTGATTAAATGTAGCTGTTTTCTCTTGTAGACTCTCTTATCTTTCTTGCTGCCTGGTCACACTAGACTGAGAAACCAGATAACAGAAGTCTTGGATCTGGATCTGATAAAGCAGGAAGCAGAGAATGGGGCCCTAGACATTTCCAAGCTGGCAGAATTCATTATTGGCATGATGGGGACACTGTGTGCACCTGCTCGAGATGAGGAAGTTAAGAAACTAAAGGACATTAAGGAAATAGTGCCCCTTTTCAGGTATGGAACTATTTAATCATACTCTGTACACCTACAATTCAGACCTTTTTTTGTAGGGGAAGGAGAGGGGAGGCTGGGCAGGGAAGAAGGGGAGGAAGACAGGCGGACTGGCAAGGGAGCATGAGCTATTTTCTTTTCTTTTTTTTTTTTTTTTTGAGATGGAGTCTCACTCTGTTGCCCAGGCTGGAGTGCAATGGGGCAATCTCCGCTCACTGCAACCTCTGCCTCCTGCATTCAAGCAATTTTCATGCCTCAGCCTCCTGTGTAGCAGGGATTACAGGCGCAGACCACCATGCCTGGCTAACTTTTGTATTTTTAGTAGACATGGGGTTTCACTATGTTGGACAGGCCAGTCTCGAACTCCTGACCTCAGGTGATCCACTCACCTTGGCCTCCCAAAGTGCTGGGATTACAGGCATGAGCCACTGTGCTCAGCCCAGAGCTATTTTCAGTTTAAACTTCCCTAAGTCTTGGTACTCATGAATTAACAAAGAAATTTTAAGCAAACATTTTGTAAAATGCAGAAAAGTAAAAAGAGGACATTTACTCATAATTGTACCACTCAGAGGTACAATCACTTTTATCATTTTCATCTATATATTTTTTTATGCATCAAATTCCCTCAACATTTTCTTTTGAAAAATTCTAAACCTACAGAAAAGTTTCAAAAATAGTACAATCAGCATTCACATGCTCTTCATGTAGATCCCTCAGTTTTTATCATGTTGTCACAATTGCTTTGCTGCCCAGGCTGGTCTGGAACTCCTGGGCTCAAGCGGTCCTCCCGCCTTGGCCTCTCAAAGTACTGGGATTATAGGCGTGAGCTACGGGCCTGGTCCTGTTTTCCTTTAATACTGTGTTTAGTTTACAATTTCTTGGTTCTAAATCCTTTTTTCTTTTAGAGAAATTTTTTCTGTGTTGGACCTAATGAAAGTGGACATGGCCAACTTTGCTATCAGTAGCATCAGGCCTCATCTCATGCAGCAGTCAGTTGAATACGAGAGGAAGAAGTTTCAGGAGATTTTGGAGAGGCAACCAAGTATGTTTTATATTTTGTGGTACTTATTTTGTTGTCTGTGGTTTTTCATTTTAGCTGCCACAGCTTGTTATAATGTTTTCAGAACAAAACTAAAATTTAGCATGAGAATAGTCTAATTTGAAGAAGAAAAGCACAAAATGTTAGGATTCAATCTAGAGTTGTTAAGCATTGAAAAGAAAACTTAATTGACAAGCAAAAGGAATGTGAGTAGGCCATGAGAATAGAAATTAAAAACAATGAAGTCCTCAATTATAAATGGTTTTTTGATGAAAACACCAGTTTGAAGTAAAATACATTCTTGGTCTTGATTTTTTAAAACGTGACAGACGTCCTGTGAATGTTAATTCACTTTTCTTCTCCCTGTGTGGCATAGCAGGAAATTTAACTTTGCTTTTGTTCTGGATGCATAAATCTTCTTGTTTTATACCCAGGAAGAGTCTTCATTTTTATGGACGTCTCAGATGACTGCAGAAAACAGACAACTATCAGAATCTAAAACTATGTTGTATTTTTAGGGTGCTTTTTATGGTCTCTGCATTGCTGGCTGACATTCTGGGTAAATTTCAGTCTTCAGAGCCAATGTATGATGAATTTTGTTTGGCCCCAAACTTTCTGATGAGGAGATGAAAACAGCAGTCTCTGGGTTGATTGGGTTGCCTGACCAGATTAGTTGCAATGCCCCACACAATCGATTCATCCCGCCCCAGGCAGAGAAGTCTGAGGTGGTGCTGGGGCCAGGGGAAGTTAGGAAAGAGCAAGGTAGGGGTAGAAATAGAAGAAGTTTGGTAATGTTTACTAAGTGCCAGGCTTGTGCCACAGGCTGTATGTGCGTGATCATATGTAATCCTCATACAGTAAGCTGATGATCCAGGCACCTTTTTTTAACCCCATTTTACAGATGTTGGAAACAGGTTTTGAGAGATTTTTTACCATAATGGACGGACCACAAGCTCACACTCTCACCAATGTTGTGAGAGTACTGGGCAGAGAGTTTTTTTTTTTTTTTTTTTGTTGGAGTCTCGCTTTGTCACCCAGGCTGGAGTGCAGTAGTGCGATCTTGGTTCACTGCAACCTCCGCTGGGCAGAGTTTTGTAGCCTGAAGAGCCTTAATATTAAGGCTTGGCCCTGTAAGCAGGGGTGCAGTGGAGGACTCACTGCTAGGGTGGAAGCAGCTACAATGCCTGCATCTAGCACCTAAATCACAACATGGAAGCCCAGGTTTCCTAAAGCTAGCAGGTTACGGGAGCATGCTGTCTACAGAAGAGAGAGTGAAGCCAGATGGCCCAGCAGTCAGGACTGAGCCCTCAGGGCAAGCCAGCGCTGTATCCCTCTGCCCCAGTGAAGGGCAGACTACAGCTGTCACCTTGGCTCTTAAGGAAGCATCCACTGACAGAGCTGCAACACCTCCCGGGACCTGATAGGCACAGTTTTTATCAGATGATGTGCAAGATCCTCCAGCTCGCTCTCTGTATCCCTCAGCATGCCCGCTGCATTACTCAGCTTAGAAAAGCAGGGGTGCTTAAGGGCTGCTGAAAGTGGTGTGGGTCTTCTCTGACAGAGTTCACTTTCCCCCGGGCTGAAAGGAAGCCAGATTGAAACCAGGTTAAGATCTAAACAAGGAAAAGCCTCATCAGCAATGTAGAGGATACTGTATACAGGGAAACTCTAGCCACTGTCCCATCCCGTCTGTCTCTAGAGCTGGAGTCTCCAGGGCTTTTGGCTCCATATCATACAGTGGTCAGGAAGGGAGAGAAGAGAAGGAAGGTTTTGTTAAATACCGGGTGGGTGGCAAGGCCTGGCTAGGTGTCATATATTCTTATTTTAGACAGGATCTAGCTCTGTCACTCAGGCTGGAGTACAGTGGCGTGATCACCACTCACTGCAGCCTCAACCTCTGGGGCACAAGCAGTTCTCCTACAGGCACACGCCACCACACCTGGCTGATTTTTGTATTTTTTGTAGAGACAGAGCCTTACCACATTGCCCAGGCTGGTCTCAAACTCCTGTGTTCAAGCAGTCTTCCTACCTCAGCCTTCCAAAGTGCTGGGATTACAGGTGTGAGGCACCATGCCTGGCTTATTCATTGTCTTGTGTAATCCTCACAACAGCCTGTGAGGTGGGTGTTGTAAATTTCCCTATATCAGGCATCTGAAACTCAGACACATTATAACTTGTCTGAGATCCCTCAGTTAATTGTGGGCACTACTATGATTTGCTCCAAGTTTTATTTGATTCCAAAGTTCATACTTTCTACTTTTATCACTCTGCCAGGACATCGATTGTCCCTAAAGTAATTCCGAGAAGCATCCCTTCTCAGTACCAAGGTAATATGTGCAGCTTTGTTTTTCACAGATTCCCTGGATTTTGTCACCCAGTGGCTGGAAGAAGCCTCAGAGGACCTTATGACTCAGAGGTATAAACACGCCCTGCCAGTCGGGGGAGCGGCTGCTGGCTCTGAGGACATGCCCAGGCTGAGCCCTGTTGCTGTCCAGAATTATGCTTACCTGAAGCTTCTGAAGTGGGACCACCTCCAGAGGCCATTCCCCGAAGTAGGTCTCTCGAGCCGTTTTACTACTCATATTTGTTTTTATGCTGCTGAACTTTTTAAAAAGAATAGCTTTGGCCGGTCATGGTGGCTCACTCCTGTAATCTCAGCACTTTGGGAGGCAGATTGTTTGAGGTCAGGAGTTCAAGACCAGACTGGGCAACATGGTGAAACCCCATCTGTACTAAAAATACTAAAATTTAGCCAGGCATGGTGGTGGGGGCCTGTAGTCCCAGCCACTTAGGAGGCCGAGGCAGGAGAATCACTTGAACCTGGGAGGTGGAGGTTGCAGTGAGCCGAGATCACACCATTGCACTCCAGCCTGGGTGACAGAGTGAGACTCCATCTCAAAAAATAAAAATAAATAAATGTGAAATAAAAAGTAAAAAGAATAGCTTTATTCTAATATAATTCATGTACCAGAAGATTCTCCCTTTTAGAGTGTACATCTCAGCGGTTTTTAATATCATCACAGAGTTGTGCATCCATTACCACTGTTTAATTGAGAACATTTTCATCACTTCCAATAGAAACCCGCACCCATTAGCAGTCACTGCCCTTTCCCTCTCCCTCCAGCCCTTTAAGCCACAACTCTGCTTTCTGTCTATGGATTTGCCTATCCTGGACATTTGATATAAGTGAAATCATACAGTACCAGACATTTGTGCCTGGCTTCTTTCACCAGCGCTTTTCCGTGTTGTAGCATATATCAGTATGTTAATCCTCTTTTCCACTGTGTTTTTTTAGTAGTGGTAAAATACACATAAAATTTACCATTTTAACCATTTCTAGTCGATCAGCTCAGTGGCATCAAGTGCATTCGCACTGTTGGGCAACCATCACCACCAGCCATCTCCGGAACATTTTCATTTTTTCATCTGTGAAACTGTCTTCCCACCAAACACACCAGTCATTTCCCATTGCCCCTGCCCTCCGGCCCCTGGCAGCCATCATTCTGCTTTGAGTCTCTATGAATTGGACTACTCTGAGTATCTCATATGAGTGAAATTATACAATCTTTGTCCTTTTGGGTCGGGTTTATTTTACTTAGCATAATGTCTTCAAGATTCATTTATGTTGAAGTATGTGTCAGTGTTCCCTTTCTGGGTTTTTGTTTTTGTTTTTTTGTTTGTTTGTTTGTTTTTAGAGACAGGATCTCATTGTATTGCTCTGGTTAGAGTGTAGTGGTACAGTGGCTCACTCTAACCATGAACTTTGGGGCTCAAGTGATCCTCCTGCCTCAGCCTCCTGGGTAGCTAGATTACAAGAGTGTACCACCACACCCAGCTTATTTTTAAATGTGTTTTTTGTAGAGACAGGGGTCTCACTGTGTTACCCAGGCTGGCCTTAAACTCTTGGCCTCAAGTGATCCTCCCTCCCTGGCCTCCCAGTGTTGAGATTATAGGCGTGAGCTACCACGCCCAGCCCTCCTTTCTTTTTAAGGCTGAATAATATATTTTACTGTATGGGTGTACCACATTTTGTTTATTCATTCATCAGCTGATGAACATGTGGGTTGTTATTATAAATTATGCTTCTGTGAATATTCCAATATAAGTTTCTGCATGGACACATGTTTTTACCTCTCTTGATTATGTACCTAGGATTAGACTTGCTGGGTTACGTAGTGACTCTAAGTTTAACATTTTGAGGAACTACCAAACTGTTTTCCAAAGCAGCTGTGTCATTTTTCAATCCCACCAGTAATGTATGAGGCTTCCAATTTGTGCTGCTGAACTTTTCTGCTGTTTTTACACATCTTGATCAAAACCACAACAGTGGTGTGGTTGCTTACAGCTTTACCTAAGAAAGTTCTTCCCCTTCCATGCTGAACAACATTTTTTCTTTTTATGTTTTTCATAATACATCCTTCTAACTGCAGGACTTCTTTAAGAAGATGACTAAGAAGGGATTCCCCCAGTGTTTCTGTAAATAGCTGTTTTGGTATGTTGACTCTCCCCTCTTTTTGGGGGGTACATGAGCTTCTTATCGCTAGCCTCAGATCAAGCTACTTCTCTAAATACCTTTCTCATAAGTTCCTTATTTTTCCTTTCAAGAAGTTGTGAGCTTAAGGTTCCGCTTCTTGCCCCTGAGTTCCCTGTTTTGTGCTGGAGGAAGCTCTAAAGAGAATGTCAAATTGGAGATGGGAAAATGTTCCCTTTCAACTGTAGCATGTTCTCTTCTGGAGCGAAGTTCTCAGCCTGACATATCTCTTTAAAAATAGCTGTGGGAGACCATCCAGTACCTCCCTTTTTCCCACTGCTCATCGCCTTCCCCAGGCCTTAGATACCCCTGCTTCTTCATGCTGTGAATATCCCTAAACCCTCTCTATGGAGATGGGGATTTGAGACCTGTTCTCCAGCCTCCTCACTTGGCAGTCTTATGAATAAACTCTCTTTTTCTAGAAAAAAACAAAAAAAAATGCTGTGGGGAAGATGATGATGGTCACTGGGGATGGCTGTCTACTCCAGGAATTGATCCTTGGCTATCTCCTTCTTAAACTCAAGTCCTGCGGGCTGTTGGGAAGCCACAAAGCCACGTGAAGTCAGAAAACAGATGGACGATAAGTCCTTGGGAGTGTATGCATTTATCAGCAGAGGATTCTCAATCCTCAGAGATAGTTTTTACTTCTTGGCTGTGACCCCACGTTGTTCATGTCTTGATTTGGCAAATCTCAGTTTCTGACAGCAAGACAGGCCCTTAGAGTCCATTGATGAGCTGTAAACTCTCAGATCAAATGCACATCTGTGCAGCCTTTCCCTTCTCCTTCCCTCGTCCACCTGGGCAGGGGGTGCTGGCATGGTAGGACCCAGGGCTTCCTTTAACATGGGGGAGGCAGTCGTGGGAATGCACTTGCCTTCCGGGAGGCTTTGGGTTGTTCTTTGTCACTTCTACTTTCTGTGCTTCCTGTTTCTTTCTCCTTTATTTACTCACTGGTCCTTACTAGCTTCCTTTGTGCTGGGTGCTGAGTGGGTACCAAGGTGAATACGTGTAGGCTCTGCCCACAAGGTACTTCTCCCCTCCATTGCCCCGGGGTTGTTGTTGTTTTAAGATGGGGTCTTGCTGTGTTGCCCAAACTGCAGTGTAGTGGCAGTTCACAGACATGATCATAGTGCACTGCAGCCTCAAACTTCTGGCCTCAGCAATCCTCTTGCTGGAGCTTCCCAGTAGCTGGGACTGCAGGCGCCCACCACCGCACCTGGCCTTCCATTGCTCTGTACAGGGTGACTGGCTGTCCTAGTTTGCTAGGGACTGAGTGTTGGTTCACAGGATGTGGGAGTTTCAATTTGAAAACTGGGACAGTCCCAGACAAACTGGGAGGAGTTGGTGACCCTAGGTCTGTGCCTCATTATGCTTTTCATCCTAACAACGTAACTTTTATTTATCAAGTGCTGGCTCTGCCAGCCACTTTATAAGTAGGATGTTTCTTCAGCTTTAAAATAGCCCTGTGATGTAGGAGTCCCCATTCTACAGAGACCTGACCAAGCTGGGAACGCTTACATGAGGTCATGCTTTTTTGTTTTGTTTGAGATGGAGTTCCGTTCTTCTTGCCCAGGCTGGAGTACAATGCTGTGATCTCAGTTCATTGCAACCTCCACCTCCCAGGTTCAAGCGATTCTCCTGCCTCAGCCTCCTGAGTAGCTAGGATTATAGATGTACACCACCACGTCAAGGTAATTTTGTATTTTTAGTAGAGACGGGGTTTCACCATGTTGGTCAGGCTGGTCTCAAACTCCTGACCTCAGGTGATCTGATCTGCCTGCCTTGTAATCCCAGAGTGCTGGGATTACAGGCATGAACCACCGTGCCCAGCCAGGGAGGTCATGCTGTTAAGCACAGAGCCTGGCTTTACACCCAGGCCTGTGTTCTTAGTGAGGGTGCTATGCTGCATCCTTGCTCAGGAGGAAGGGCTCTGAGATTGAGGGGTTATTTCACACGGGACTCCCTCAAAGCTCTGACCACTACTGCAAACCCTGAGGGAAGCTGCAGAGGCAGGTGTGGGGGCTGTGGCGCTCTCGCCCTCTGCTGGCTAGCCCGGACCTGCAGCTCAGCAATGGCCTCTTCTGTTTATTACAGACAGTTTTGATGGACCAGTCTCGCTTCCACGAGCTCCAGTTGCAGCTGGAACAACTGACCATCCTGGGGGCCGTGTTGCTGGTCACCTTCAGCATGGCAGCCCCAGGAATATCTAGCCAGGCTGACTTTGCTGAGAAACTCAAGATGATTGTGAAGATTTTGCTAACAGATATGCATCTGCCGTAAGTGGAACCATCATGCGTGGATGGGAGGCGGTGGATGGCAGAGAGCCGACTCCCAGATGGGATCTCCCAGTGTAAGGCCGAACCCAGGGCCACTCTCTAGGAACTGAGAAGAAACCTTGCTGTCTCGGTTCACTTGGCGAAGACCCCAGCAGAGTTTATTCAGGGTCACAGGGTCAAAGTTAGAATCAGCTGCAGGGTTAGCAAAGCTTTAGGATTGTGGCTTTAAAATGTATGTGACTAGCTGAGTAGCCTATAGGGCCTTAGAGGCCACACCGAGGATTTGGGTTATTGTCCTAAGAGTAGTAGGGAGCCATTGAAGAGTTTGAAACAAGAGGGAGAGAGCATCATTAGATTTGTGTTGGTTTTTTTTTGGAGACAAGAGTCTCCCTCTGTTCACCAGGTTGAAGTACAGTGGTGCAGTGTGTGCTTACTGCAGCCTCTGCCTACTGGGTTCAAGCAATTCTCCTGCCTCAGCCTCCTAGTAGCTGGGACTACAGTTATGTGCCACCATGTGTGGCTAGTTTTTTTGTTTGTTTTTGTGTATTTTTAGTAGAGATGGGGATTCACCATATTGGCTAGGCTGGCCTCGAATTACTGACCTCTGATCCACCCACCTCAGCCTCCCAAAGGGCTGGGATTACAGGCGTGAGCCACCACACCCAGTTCTTAAATTTAAATTTTGGTGGGGGCACATAGTAGAGGTGAGGGAGCATTTAGGAGGCAAGAGAAGTGGCTCAGGCAGGGGTCGGCCATGGGTAGGGTGGGGAGTGCTGGTATCAGTGGTTGCTTGCCTTGAGGAGTCAGAGATCCTGGGCTTAGGGGTCCCGTGGTCCTCCATGCCCTGTTAGCATGCCCCTCCCGGGGCCTGGCTCAGTTCTGAGTGCCATCAACTCCTTTATTCTCCCTACGCAGGGAACAGAATGCTGTCTGACCCCTTTCTTCTTTAATGGGGCTGTTTGTCTCCTGACCTCCAAGGTTTTTGTGTTTGATGTTTGTTGAGTGCTTTATTTCTCTCCCAAAGCCATTCAAATGCATTCAACTTTTACTGGAGCTTATGAGGAAACTGAAACCCAGTCATTAATTGGGACAAAAATGTTGGTGACTAGGATCCGCAGCAAGAAATTCATTTTCTGTTGTGACCTAGTACACACTTAACACACATGTAAGTGTGCATGTGTGCAGGCTTCAGTGACCACTCCTACCATCGAGTCATGTTGGGTGACTTCTGTGGTTCCAGCCTATAGAATATCTTTGAGTGGTTTTAAGCAAATGCTCTACCTAACAAGGTCCAATTCAGAGACTTCTTCAAGGGAAGTACCCCCTAAACAGTCTCGTCTTTACAAAATGGAGGAATTTTGCTGCTGAATTTGCACAAAGCATGGGTGTGTGCAGTGCAGTGTGGGGCGTGTCCACATGTTGTGACTAGGAGTTCAACAGTTTTGACAGTCAGACTAGTTTGTTGAGAGGCCAGGAAACTGTTTGCTCAGCTGAGGGCTTAGCCTAAGGCCTTTGCACAGGTGCAGCCCTGGGCTGTCACCTAGGTGCCCTGCCTGAAGAACTATTCTGTCAAAGCTTCCGCTGAGGGAGGGACCCAGGCCAGTGCTTCCTTGGAAGCCCAGCCTTACACTCCCATATCCACACTTGCCCTCCAGGGGTGGGCACAGAGCTGGTGCCAACGGTGAGTGCCAGGACTTGCTCCCATGCCCCCCAGTAATTCTTCTGTACAAAAGATCTAGACCCAGAACAGAGGCAGTTACCTTCTCACAGCGTGCCTCTCAGCAGAGGGGCTCCCTACAGGGACCCTGGGAGAGCCTGAGGGTCCCAGGGTATCCAGGTACTCTTTTTTTTTTAACTTTAGGATTT